GTGAATCCCCACACCATTGACCAACCACTGCCCCGACCCTAAACTCTAAGATAGATACTGGGTAGCCTGTCCAGTGAGCTTCCTCCCCCCTTCCGGCAGGTTTCTTCCTTCCCTCTAGCTGTTTTTCCCTTCGATCAAAATCGACTGACCCAACTTTGAAATTCAATCGACTGAAATGTAGCTATTGCATATAAATAGATTGCAAACGGCGACTCCTTGTCCCTCGCCGCCCATTTCAAATTTTGAATTCAAGTATACAAGCACGGACCATACATGCATGATACACACATGGCACCAGCCAACAAGAACGAGCAGTTACTACCCTCGAGAGTATTCCAGCATATTGTGGCAGTTTCAGTTTTCGTACAACACAGTCCGGGAAAAAAAATCCTAAAATGCAGGCACGCACACGGTTTCCATTAACTCAACAAGTAGTATATTTAACACTGCATACTACACACTGTCTACACTCTTGTTGTGTCCTTCAACCCCACACTTGCTGCATTTTGCGTTTTGCCAGTCCTCTCCGCAAAACCTCAGATCGACTTCTCGAGAGCCCCCGTGTGGTTTGCGCATGGCACACGCTCTGTTGGATTGGCACCACTCTCACCGACAAGCACGAGCTGACGAACCAACAGAAAAATTGGGGCCGTGCACACAGTAATCCGATCATCAAAAATCCCGGCAACCATCCAAAATGGGGCTGGTTCTAGCTCACAGGAAACTGGGCCTGAAACTTCTACCAGCACACAGCCAGCTGACAAGCTCCAGTGGTCAGTTGTGCTAGCTAGCTAGTAGTATCAACTTAATTGATCGCCCTTTTTCAGAAAAAAAAAAGCATCGATGCAGTTATAAGATAAGCGATCAAATCAACTCGTTCATCCACTGCTTCTGGCTTCTTTGTAGCGTCTCAGGTGCTCCTCGAGCTCGTGAATGTACTGCTCCTGGCGCCTCTCGTCCAGCACAAGCTCTTTCAGCTTCTTGGCGTTGGTCGCGAACACCTTCCCCTCATCCTCCGACATGACGCGCCGCACGGCCACCACGACACCTTCCCTGTCAAATGAGCCGTCACTGCCGTCCCTTGGCACCAGCACGCCGATTCCTCTCTCCGCCATGGCCCGCGCGATCATAGGCGTGTCGGTGAGGAAAGGCAGCATGACCAGCGGAAGGCCGAAGCCGAAGCTCTCGATGGTGGAGCCCCAGCCGCAGTGCGTCAGGAACGCGGTCGGGGCGCCGTGAGCGAGCACCTTCACCTGCGGCACCCACCCTGTGCAGACCACCCCACGGTCCTGCGTCCGCTCCTCGAACCCAGCCGGCAACAGCTCCTGCTTGTTGTTTGTGCCGGCCGGCTTGCGTAGCGCCCAAAGGAAGTGCACCCCGGCGAGCTCCAGTCCGAGCGCGAGTTCATGGATGTTCTCTAGCGTCGTCGAGCCAACGTAGGACCTGGCGACCGTCGGCGCCGCTAGAGCTGCTCTGCCCGTGGTCTTCATTACGGTCGTCGGTCGCCCCAGGTAACAGGATCCCGGCGGGGATGGCGGGCTTCCGCAAGAGATCAGAGAGGATTGTGAACATGCGAGGCTCCAGCTCGCGACAGCTCCGGTGGATGGTGAGGCGGCACCGCTCGAACACGTCCCACAAACGGTCAGTGTCCGACCTGCCTGACGCGTTTTCACCGAAGTTGTCAGCGAGCATCCGCCGGGCCTCGTGGTGGAGGAAGACGGTGGTGGACGGGAAGGGGATCCACTTGGGTGGCACGCAGGCACGGTGAAGTCCTCTGGCTTCGTGCGCGGGTGCGCGTCGTTCGTCCACCGCGGCCCAATAAAGGCCATAAAGGCGGCATGGAAGATCAGGAACGCGGCGCATGGCACCTGCACTCCGGCCGATTGATCATCATGATCAACATATACCTGCGTAGGTGGAGATGGCGGACAGCGTCGTACCTTGTGCTGGTCGGCGATGGGCGGGACCCAGTGGTGGCAGAAGTCAATGATGATCCAGTCGGGCCTCCTGCCGGCGACGACGGCGTCCGCGAGGAACGACGCGAGCGGGGCGGCGAGGCCGTCCATGGCCTTCTTGAGCAGCTCGACCTTGTCGGGCGGCAGGTCAGACGTGACCTCGGCGCCCTCCGGCAAGCCCTCCACAGCCGGCAGCGGTAGCGGCACGAAGCGGATGTGCGCGGACAGGTGCGCCGGCACGGGCGGCAGCCTGGCGAGGTTTCGCGGAGTGGACACGAAGGCGACGGCGTGGCCCCACGCGGCGAGGCGCTTGGAGAGCTCCAGGAACGGGATCATGTGCCCGAACGCCAGCCACGGGAACACCACCACCTCCAACCCGCCCGCACCGGCGCCGGCAGCCGCTGCTGCCATTTCCATCTGCTCGCAATGGGCCGATGGAGTATAACAAAACAGAGGCTTGGTGTCGCTGTTGCCTACTTACTTGCCTGATGGGCACGAGCAAACTAACAGTAAATTTTGAGCAACACGACTACACGAGCCAACTAAATAATGGAGCGTGGGAGCTGAGTGGGCTACCCACGAGGAAACCTCCAGAGGGTGACAGGGACTTTGTCCCCGATGATGTTACAAGAGTGAGCCTTGCAGACTACTGGCCCAGACCACGGCACTATTTCGGAGTGTAACATCGCATGGGGCCCAGAGGGGGGACATATCGGGGACTTTTTTTTTTATCCAAGCAAAATTTCATTGAACTTTTTTTTGAAATAAAACGAAACTTTATTCATTAGAAATAATCAATACATCGTTTGTGAGGAAGAGTACAATTTCATTGATAGGCTCCTCGAACCAATCTGAAGTTGAAGAAAATCTAGCTAACTTAGCAAGTTCATGTGCTACTCTATTTGCCTCTCTATTACAATGTTCGAATCTAGTCACGATAAAATCACATGCGTAGTGGAAGCAGTCATCGAAAATTGCCGCTGCCGCACCCGTTGACTGTCCTCCATCCTGCATGGTCTCAATCACCTCCAGATTATCTGAGTTGATGATTAGGCGATTGCACCCTGCCCTTTGCGCTAGTGTTAGTCCAAATTTGAGGGCTAAAGCTTCTGCCATCAGAACATCCGCACAATGGTCAATCTTTTCATTTCTTCCTGCAATAAACCTACCTTTGTCGTCTCGCAAAACCGCCCCCATCGTACCCTTCAGCATGTCATGGTCAAAAGAGGCGTCAACATTGAGTTTCACGAAACCCCTAGGGGGACAATGCCAACCCCCTTTTTTCATGGACGCCTTTGAAGATGATGCATTTACAAAATTGTATGTGAGGGCTATGATCCCCATTGATATCTGAGTTGCATTCTGAGTTGTTTCCTTGTGCACTAATTTCCTTCTCTCCCACCATAGATACCAAGCTGAAATAGCTATTATTTCTCGTACATTTTGGTACCCCCAATACGCAAATCTTGATCTGGAAGAACTAAAAGGTATTCCAGTATCGCCTCTCCAGCACTATCAACCTCACAAGCTCTATCAATAATCTCATCTATTCCTAGCCTCTTCCAAATTTCCTTTGCTTTATTACATAGGAAAAGCATATGCTTCGTGTCTTCTACACCCTGAGAGCAAGTAGGACAAAGGGGCGAGACGTTCATGTGTCTATTAGCAAGTGTTGCCCGACATGGGAGAGTGCCATGTAACGTACGCCATATAAAAATTTTGACTTTTGCCGGACAAGATAATTTCCATATCTGACACCAAATAAGGTTAGTTGTGGTTCGCCCCATCCCGTTAGAGTGTTTTAGTTTACTGCCGTACAGATCATTCCACTCCACAGAATAAGCAGACCGTACCGAGAACATACCATTTTCCATATAACTCCAAGCAATGAAATCAGGTCCTCATCCCAAATATTGGAAATAGGGTCAATCAGATCAACCACTCTTGATAACAATTGTCCCCTCCTAGGAGTCACAATCTTCCTAGTGGCACAATTTGGGATCCATGCATCTTCCCAAATGTTGATGTTATGTCCATTTCCCACTCGCCAAATATAGCCGCGTTTAGTAATGCCTGCCATAATGCTTTGCCAGGTGAAGGAAGCACCATGTTTTGGCTTGGAATTCAGCAAATCGCCATCAGGGTAGTACTTGGCCCTTAGAATAGTGGCACACAAGGAATCAGGATTATCGAGGAGACGCCATGCCTGTTTGGCCAGCAGAGCCAGGTTGAAACAGTGGATATCACGGAATCCCATTCCTCCTTGGGTTTTTGGTACACACATTTTCCACCAGGCCATCCAGTGCATCCTCCTCTGGTTCTCCTCGTCTCCCCACCAGAAATGCGTTATCGCGTCAATGATTCCTTTACAATTTTTTTTAGGAATTTTAAAGACCGACATTGCATAGGTAGGTATGGCTTGGATCACAGCCTTGAGCAGGATCTCCTTCCCCCCGGCAGATAATAGTTTTTCCTTCCAACCACTAATTTTCTTAACAATACGTTCAATCAGAAATTTAAAGCAGTCTGTTTTATCAACGCCCACATTTGCTGGCAAGCCCAAGTATTTGTCATTCAGGGCCTCCGTCATTATATTGAGCATTGTACACAAGTGTTCTCTGACCTCTACCTTTGTATTGGGGCTAAAGAAAATACTAGACTTTTCCACGCTTCCCAGCTATCCCGACGCCGCACAATATAAATCTAGTGCTGATTTCAGGGCCGCCGCATTATGTTGGTTGGCTTTCATCAAGATCAATGAGTCATCCGCAAAGAGGAGATTAGTTACTGGTGGGGCATCTCTACAGACTTTAACTCCTGAAATGTTCCCATTCTCCTCAGCATGCGAGAGCAAGGCATTCAACCCTTATGTGCACAGCAGGAATAGGTAAGGTGATAGCGGGTCCCCCTGTCTCAACCCTCTAGTAGGCTTAAAACTCTCACTTTCCTCTGCATTTATCCTTACTTTGTATTCTACTGTTGTGATGCATTGCATAATCAAATTAACCCACTCTCGACGGAAACCCAATTTCAGCATAATCTCCTTCAGAAAAGCCCACTCGACTCTATCGTAGGCTTTGTGCATGTCAAGTTTTATAGCACACAAGCTCTCTCTACCCTCTCTTTTGTTCTTGATTGTGTGAAAACATTCGTAGGCCACTAAAATATTATCGGTTATCAATCTTCCTGGTACAAAAGCACTTTGTGTTGGACTAATAATTTCTGGTAGAAGGATCTTCAATCGAGAGGTCACCATTTTTGCAATTATTTTGTATACCACATTACATAAGCTGATCGGCCTAAATTGGGATACCTTTTCTGGTGTGTTAATCTTCGGAATCATCACGATTGCAGTATCATTCCAACCATCCGGGATAGTACATGTGTTGATTGCTTTCAGAACGTCCTCAATTAGGTCTTCCCCTAGCATGGTCCAGAACCTTTTATAGAAGATAGCATGGAGTCCATCTGGTCCTGGAGCTTTCAAGTCCCCAATATCAAATGAAGCCTTGCGAACATCTTCTGCGGTATAAGGAGCAAGTAGAGCATTGTTCATTTCGTTTGACACTCTCTTACGCACAAGTGATAAAACTTCTTGATTCGGATGCTGAACTTCCGATGTGAAAAGCTTTGTGAAATATTCAGTTATGTGATTCGTCAACTCCTTTTCTGTTAACCAGTTTCCAGACTCATCTAATAGTTTCTTTATATTATTCCTTTTTTCCTAGCCGTGGCAGCATTATGGAAAAAAGATGTATTACGATCCCCATGCATCAACCAGTTTGCCCGTCCTCTTTGTAACCAGAAAATTTCCTCTTGATCCAAGATATTTTCAATCAGCACAATAATTTCCTTCTGATGACCTTGAAACTCCATATTTAATGGGCCCCGCCTTAATCTCTCCAATTCTTTTTTTAATTTTCTAATTCTCACCATTGGTCCCTTTAGAGTTTCCCGGTCCCATGTATGTAGATCGGCATGTACTGCTCTCGTACGATCAGCAAGTGATGGTCCAATCCCGGCAAGTCTTGTTTTCTTCCAAGATGCCTTAACAATTTCAGTAACTGTCTCTTCCTTCAACCACCTCACCTCAAACTGTTTAACCCGTCCTTCTGTTCGTTTAAAGATTTCTTCATCCAAGTAATCCGTATCCAGTACGATTGGGCGGTGGTCAGAATGAACATGTTCTTCATTGATAACTGCCGCTCGTGGAAATTTGTTTGCCCACGCTATATTGCAGACCCCTCGATCAAGACGTTCACGAATTTCGCCTCTCCTCCAAGTGAACAGGTCACCCGTATAGCCAAGGTCATCCAGCCCGCAATCCATTAGGCATTCACGAAATTCTCTCATCATACCAAGTGGTCTAGCAATACCACCCTCTTTTTCTGACGGGTATAAAATTTCATGAAAGTCCCCCAAAACAACCCATAGGTGATTGCCCTTACTATATAGGTTGCGAATATCGTCCCAAGAAAGATGGCGCTCATTCCATTTTGGACGACCATAGAAACCCGTGAACCGCCACTGAACCGCTTCCTCATTCATAAAAACAATATCAATAAAGTGGGGCGAGATATAGTTCAACTCGATTTTATTCGACTTCTGATAAAACAAAACTAGGCCACCGGCCTTACCATCGCTTTCCACTACAAACATAGAATCAAAACCTAAATTACGACGAAGCTCATCGGCTTTACAATTATTCAAATGAGATTCAGAAAGAAAAATTAAATCTGCCCTTGTACGCTCCTGTAGGTCCAGGAGCTCACGAACTGCCGTGCTGGAGAGCATACCACGGCAATTCCATCCTAGGATTTTCATTTGGCTCGGCGGTCCTCCTCGGAGGCCGCCGATGTGCCAATCTCGTCTTTCTCTTCGCCAACCGGTTCCACTCCCTGCGGAACGTACTCTTCTTCCTTCTCGTCGGTCTCCTTTGCGACGTGTGTAACTCCGCCCTCCTCGTCCTGGAACGCTACAACTCTACCCGTACACACCCGTTTGGATGAGACGGTTACATCACCATATAACATGCGTTCATAGCTATCCATCTCTTTTTCAAAGGAAAACTCTAAGTCACTCCCCGTCGGTTGAATTCCAAAAGAATGCCTCCTTTTTTCCCTAGTATTTGTTTGCGGGCATCCTCAGCTCTGTTTGGCTGCCCCTTTTTTTTGTCTTTCTTCTTTGAGTTGCCCTGCATAGAGTTTTTAGCTGCACTGAATGTAAAGCGTACAACATTATTTTTCACACCACCACCTGTAGTGATCCTTGCAGCAACCGCGCTGGACAGCGCCTCTAGCACACCCGGCTGGAAGAGGACGCTGCCATTAACCCCCCCAGGCGCTGGGACCTGGCTGGGCATCCCCTGAGAATGAGTGCAAATGGCCACCTGACCCGCCTGGATGGCTTGGACCGAGTCAACGTTAGCCCGCAGCTGCTGGTTTTGCATCACTTCCCGGCGCAAGTCCTCCAGGGCTACTTGGCCCTGGACCTCATTGTCCCGCCCGGCAAGAGCAGCCATTGCGCCCTCCTGGTCCTCCTGACCAAGTGACGCGCCTGTCGGTGCAGGCTGTAAGACCCCCCGAGCCCGGCCCTCCTGGCCGGTGGACATCTTGAACTTGAAACCGATAATATAACAAGGTCTCAGATGTCCTAAAAGAAACAAGATCTCAAAGGGCAACCACCACCAGTCCACCACACGAGGTCAATTCGGATCTGACAACAAGCACACACATCAATCTCAGAAGAAGAAAATCAGAAACTATCCGCCTTGCATGTCGAATCGATGGTGCAATATATTGGATCCTGCCGAGCGTATTGTTTCCGGTCATGTTCTTCAGCATTGCAGTTTCTTCGATGTCTAGTTGTATAGCCATTAGCTGATGTGTACGCATTTTGCACATGCTTTTGCTAGAAGTCCATACTTACCAGTAATAGTAAATCTAATAGTGCAAGTAGTTGAATTTGTGTATTCTTAGGTTGAAAGAGTACGCTGCCTTAGACATCAACTTCTATAATTGACGATCTATGAATAAAGAGAAATTCCCCAGAAAGAGCGGGTTGAATTGAGCTGTCGTGGGGGTGGGCACAAGTGACCCATAAGGGTAAATCTCTAAATGCTACAGCTGGTAGTACACTTGCTTCATGGAATCCACACCTCAGGGTGAAAAATCGATGGTTAGGTGGATCCATAGTAGGTAGTCGTCCGGAGTATCTTCAGGATAGCACAAGCGCATGTATGTTAGTACATCCAGTCAGATGTATCTATAAGTTGTATATAGGTGTCCTGTGATAACACAAGTTGTGTTAGACCCAGCACATACATAGTTAACTTGTTGAGCTTG